AACAAGGGCTCGCAGAACCCACACGTGACGGGCCAAAAGTGGACGCAGCAAGGCATGAAGCCGGTCACGACGCTCGACCCGATCCCCGACATTCGCTTCTACCCGACGTGGCCGGGGCTTTGGCTCATGGGCAACCTCGGCCGCGCGCTTTTCGCGGCCTCGACCAACCGCATGTGGCCCTGGACGTACAACGAGTGCACGGAGCTCTCACGCAAAAACCAGCGCATCTCAGCGTGCAATGACAACCCTGGCTACGGCCTCAACCCGAACCAAGGCCGCGGGTCCCCCGAGATCGACATCCTCGAAGGCGGCGGCACGGCGATTTCGTCGTCCGTGCAGATTGCACCGGGCATGCCGGACGACTATCGACTGACAACGCCGCTTCTGAAATACGAAAACTCGTCCAACGTCGACGCCCAAGGTATAGGTCAAGAAACGTTGAAACGCAGTCGACTCACACGAGGCTAGGGCGGCATGGTGTCGGGCACGTCTTTTGCTACTACGACAGTGGAACAAATTTTGCATCCAAGGCGGCTTTATCGAGATTGCGATGAAGCTGCCCGGCGCCACCAACAAGGGCTCGCAGAACCCCCACGTGACGGGCCAAAAGTGGACGCAGCAAGGCATGAAGCCGGTCACGACGCTCGACCCGATCCCCGACATTCGTTTCTACCCGACGTGGCCGGGTCTCTGGCTCATGGGCAACCTCGGCCGCGCGCTTTTCGCAGCCTCGACCAACCGCATGTGGCCGTGGACGTACAACGAGTGCACGGAGCTGTCGCGCAAGAACCAGCGCATCTCAGCGTGCGATGACAACCCTGGCTACGGCCTCAACCCATACCAAGGCCGCGGGTCCCCCGAGATCGACATCCTCGAAGGCGGCGGCACGGCGATTTCGTCGTCGGTTCAAATTGCACCGGGCATGCCGGACGACTATCGACTGACAACGCCGCTTCTGAAGTACGAAAACTCGTCCAACGTCGACGCCCCCTCGAAGGCGGCGGCACGGCGATCTCGTCGTCGGTTCAGATTGCACCGGGTATGCCCGACGACTACCGGCCCATGCCGCCGCTTCTCAAGTACG